ACTCCGCGTACTCCTCGCGGCGAGCAGGATTACCGGAGTCGACGGGGAGCACTTCTGAGTTCGATTTATCGCGTCCAGACAAGACGCGATAAATCGAACCCAGAAGTTCGATTGCCTGCTGCCGAACCAGCGCGGTAAGTATAGACAAGCCCTTAGAAAAATACAGATGCTGTTTCTATATCTTGACTGATTTTTTTGCAAAAAAAAACAGATGGATGTTTTTGTGTAAATCCAGCTGTCTGTGACTTGACCTGTTTGCACAGTTGTTCACCAAATCTGTCTGATTTTCATCTGTGTAGCTGACTCACTGTATCCCTGCTATGGCTGGAAGTGAGCAATGCAGCTTTATCAGTGTCATAGGGCATCACTTAACTCCGGGACACTGATGGCCAGACTTGGTGTGGGCAGGTGAATGAGAGCAGAGCCACCTCAGTCATGTTCTCCTTGCCATTCTTCGTTTATTCCCCATGTTGATACCTGTTCTCCTGATTCTTATTCAAAATGTTTCTACTTCAGGATTCTGGTTTCCTTTTGAAGTATTTAAAAATAAATGCCATTAAGCTTAGTAAGGATCCTCTCCGCATGTGCTGTATTGATAACTGTTTGGCGTGCCTCTTTTTACTGTCAACAAAAGTAGAGTGCAAAAATGTTACTTTTCCCCCAGCTTTCACCCCATCTTTCTGGTGACAGTGGGATGAGGAATATTCAGTAGGGAATATCCAGAGCTTCTTCTACTTCATGTTTGCAAGTAAAGACTTCTGGAAGCCCTTTCCTGTACTTCTCTAAGAGCATGTTTTTCTGAATGTATTCCAGGTGCCCACAAAGAAGCTGAAGAAATATGAGAGAGAGTATCAGACAATGCGAGAGAGTCAGCTGCAGCAGGAAGACCCAATGGACAGATACAAGGTAAAGGAGACACTATATGGAAACCTACTCCATTGGCTAAATCACATGCACTAGTGATCAGATTTCACTAGTCAGCAAGAGGTGCCTATGTCAGTATTTCACACATACTGGGATATGCCAATACAGTACAGAAAACTATATTGGGAATTAAAGTGGTGGGTCAAATTCATCTAATTTCTTTAATGATTACATTGGCTACTTGGAGACATTCTGATTTTCCAGGAATATTTCAGTCAAAAAAATTGAACACTCGAGAAGCCCTCAAATAGCCACATATAATATTTTTCTTCTTTCAGTTTATATGTTTGTAGGTAACTCTCCTGCTGTTGAGCTTTTACTGGGAATCTGCATGAGACGCTGTGAGACTGAGGGTGATTCTCAACTACTGACACAAAAAGGAGGAAATAATACTTACTGTTTAGCAAATCTGTGCATGGTCACATCCACAAAGACTTTAGGAAGGTGAACTCATCCAAGACTGACATATGGTCCTTGTCATTAATCTCTGTTTGTAGCAAGGTTTAATAATTTTTGTTAGTACAAGGGGGCCCTGATCCCTGCTTGGGTCCCTTGGTGCTACTGCAATAGACATAATAATGAACAAGAGAAAAATAAAGCCCCAATGATGTGTGAAGCAGAATAATGTTGGTAGTTATTACATTTATTTGAATGCATATCAATTACAGCTTAAAGAGATCAACAACATATGGCCACAGGTTCAAAGTCAAATGTCTTGGTTACTGTGGAGCAGTCAAGTTGTTAGTCTGATAGGTTGATGGTTCACAAAAAAAGGATTAGCTCAACAGTATATCTGAATTTCTGATTTCCAGGGTAATTGGGCCCCAATGCTGAAAGCCGCTCTCTGCAGGCAGGCCCTCACATGCATGTAGCTCCAGCCACACAGAGCATCTTGCTGGGTGGGGGCCTGACTGTGTGACTATCCAATACCTTGTCAGTATTGTGTTATGTACAAGCAGATATAAGTATGCATGATGTTATCCTTTCTTGTGTTTGTTTTCTAATGCTGCATACACAGGCAGATCAGGAATCATTCAGTGAAGCAATTTGTGAATAATTTCAAATAATGAATGAATTTGACAGTTCCATGATCTGCTATGAACAGGGGGAAAAGGCAAAAATGTGCTGAATAAATTTACAAATTATGGCCCAGATACTGCATTGAAAACCAGGTATGCAAACACCTGCACCTGCATAGGGCCCTGTTGGCTTCAGTCGGGCTCTGTGCAGTTGGAGGGGGTTTGTCCATGCAATTCTCAGTGTAGGATCTGGGCCTAGAAAGCACATTTTGCTCAAGCTGTTGACATTTCATCATGGGGGGCTGGTTCTTTTTACTTTATAAAAGTAATTGCCCTGTTTATGGCAAAACTTGGAAAAATATTATTGCACATGTAAGGTAGCTTGCCACTCTTACAGAATGGGGTTTGGAAAAGCATTATTTTGCTCGTACCAATGTTGGCCATACTGAGGGAAAATTTGTCAGGAATGTTGCAGATAATGCACAGATAAGCCAACACAACAGATCTTGTAAAACTTTGCTGAGGATGAACTCAGTACTCATAAAGTCACCTTTCTGCACTCAGGTCCTACTCCTAGCTCAGTTCAGTTGGACTAGAGCCTCTGAGCTTTGATTACATGCCCAAAGGTTGTTCCTCAGATAATACAATAAAGTAATACGTTGATTTTTTTCTACAAGCCCTAATAAACATGTGGCACCTTGTAATATTTTTTATTGTAATATATTTGAATTTCATTATCATTATCATAATGATATATTCTGTTGATTTAGACTTTTATAGGGCAAGTTCTTTCTAAGGTTTGTATTTCATTTAAAATTCAGGACCCTTCTACTACACCTTTTTTTTTTCCCAGCAGCAGCTCAGCTTTCCTTAGATGCATTCCTCAGAGATGAGGCACTGAACTGCCTATTGGGTGACTTAGCTGTGAACTTATGTGGCCAGCATATGCCAGCAACTTTTTTAGTGTTACTCAATATTATACATAACATAGAAGTGCCATTTTCTATGTACTTTCTAAATGAATTCTGTCTGGCATACATAGAGTAGTAAAGAGTTCTGCAAGATACTACAATTGTGTACAGTATCTAAGGTTATAGAAAACAATGTATGATGCTGAGGAACAGTACACAGTCATGTAGTGAAAGACTTATAATGCATACACGTGAAGAGGCAGAGTTAAGACTGTGTTTGAAAGTGTAACTGGCATTTCTTGATTTCTGAGGCTAAACTGCAAATTAACATTTTTTAACATAACTCTAATCCAGCATAGATCTGATTTTCTGTCAGAACTAGGACTGCATTCATGGCCAAGAGAATGCTAGTTAATTTCCCTATTTAGAAATAACCATATTTACTGCTTGTTAATTTGGATTGTTTTCTTTCTTCAGTTTGTTCATACTTTTAACACAGAACTACAATAATACTTAGAAAATGTAGGGTACTGTTCATCTTCAAAGTACTGTGCAAGCATATTAGCTAATTAAACCTTACAGCACTCATGGGAGATGGATGAACAAGATTATTATTCCCATTTAGCAGATCGTGAAACAGATGAAGTGACTTACTTGGCCACACCCCCAGTGAGTCACTGTCAGAGGCATGACTAGAATTCAGGATTCTGGCTTGCAGTCGTGCAACTCCTTGTGTAACTTTTATCTGGGTTGGATCAGGTCAAACTTTTGTTGATGCACTGATTAGTAGAACGATCCCTCACAACCAGCATAGCCACATTTAGTTCAAGCTTTTTATCTGATAGGTTTCATATATGGGAAAGAGGTTCTCTCTCTTAATGGGAGAACATGTATGTTATGATAAGTGTATTAACTCCAGTTTTGTATGTTTAATTTTATTAGTGTGTCTTGATGAGAATGGTGAGAATCAACATTAGAAGACTATGCATATAGGGGTCAGTCAGTTATGATTGCAGGCCTGCATGGATGTATAAGGGGGAGAAACCAAAGCCCTGCTCATCCCTTAAAAGACACCATTGCAGCCCTTGTGTTCAGGAGTGCAAGGACTATATTCACACCACTGCCAGTGCTAGGCTGCCTAGAACTGGAGGGTAGCACTCTGCACCTTGTCAAAGGGCCCAGGCTGTCCTTGCATGATGCCTCCAGGAGCTCCCATTGGGATGATGCTCTCCATGTGGGTTGTGGCTTAAAGACTGAGTTTTCCTAGCAGAAAAAAATTATTTTCGGTTCACCATTCAGAAGTGGGGATGGCTTTTGTTTAATGATTTCTTCCGAGCTCTGTGGAGCAGGGGTCTGTGCAGCATGTTCATCTTTTAGATGCACATTGATTCTCTTCCTTGTTTTCAGTCTGTGTTTTGGTTTGTTTCACTACCTGTGCAACTTTGGGGTGATCATTTAGATGTACACCGACAGCCTTGTTGTATGTCACTTTGCTCAGACTCATTACGGTTCTTAAAGAATAAAACTGTCTTGTGAATTATCCTCCCCTCCCATGTGGGGGGCAGGGCTTGGGAGACTGCGGAGTGAGGAGGGGTTGAAGCCTCCCAACTTTACAGATCATGTGGATCCGCAGGAAAGGGCCTCTTAAACTGACAGAGCCAGGAGCTGTCTGTTCAGTGGGCCTTCTCTTCCTGTTGCTAGCAACATGGCTCTAGCCGAAACCATGCTGCTGTTGGCATGAGTGGCTACTCAGTGGGAGTCATGGAGCGGATCTGGGAGAGCTATACAGCACTGAGGTGTATTAACTCCTAGCCACATTCCACAGCAATCCAATGAACACCAAGTGATGATGATGCACAGAATGGCTGGTCTCCTTCTCCTGCCCACCTTACTCAACACCCAGGGGAATCCCTTCTGGGCAGTACACCTACAGAGGGGCATCTGGGTGTTCTGGTGAGGGGAAAAGGACTGCTGAGGAAGCATTCCTTCTCCCCCAATGCAGATCTCCAGAGGAACAAGCGTGGACATGGAGATTAATTTCTCTGCAGTCGAATTTTTTTAAAACAGATATAAACAATCCACATGACATTCTTCAGCAGATATGGTAGAGTGGCATGTCCAAACTGACTGACAATATCCCTATAAGGTATGGACAGAATTGTAAATTTATGATTATTACATTCTAAGAACTGTCCAACCTCAAACCATCTGTAAATTCTGAGATAATTTAAAATTGGGATTTTTACATCATCTGATTAATCATCAGTTAGCCAGATCATACACTGACTGAGTGGAAGCAATGTAGGACACTATGCTATATGTACAGTATGATGCAAGAATTCGTTATTGGGCATGCTTATTTTCTGCAAGTCAGTTGTGACAGATTTCATTCACCACACACACAAATCAGAAATAGGGCTCTGAAATTCACTTTGGGGTTTATTTTATTTTCTTCTCAATTTAGAAATATTTCATTTAGGAAAACTAAATTCATACAGGCACATTTCTGCAGCAGAATAACTTTACTGTTGGGTTTTTACATTCAGACAAAAATAACGTCTGACATTTTCATAGACTAAAACAGAAACACAGCTGAGTTGCCATCCTTCAGTAAATAAATTGACTCTTAGTTAAAACACATCACAAGTTGTAAGTAGAAGCCAGTAAAAAAATGGGAGCTGTGTGTCCAAGAAAAGTACCAAAATAATTCAGACAAATATTTTCCCCATATTCTGGGTGATTTTTCCAGCCTCTGAGAACTTCTCACATATAATATGGGTTTATAGGCTGTATCAGTGATGAAAACTTGGGTCCTGTAAAAAAATGTCATGTACAGTTGTGTAAACAAAAGCTAGAATCCTACAGGTAGACCCTGCACCTGTGCAGAATCCCATTGACTTCAGTGGGAGCTCTATGTGTGCAAAATAGTCTGCTCGCACAGAGCTCACAGCAGATTAGGACCAAAAATGTTAAATGTCACTGCTCTATTTACCGTCATGAAATAAATTAGGAAAGTTTCCTATTCCTACAGTGTGATCTTGCTGCAATAAGGTAAATATATTCACTTTAATTTTTACAGCTAGAATATGACCCTTAACAAAAGTTGTTCACATCCAAAATTGCTTTGATATCCTAATTTTGCACATAATACCCTTGATCCTGCAATGAGATCTGTGAGTGGAACAGTTACACCTGTATGGCTCCACTGCCATACAGGAGCAATTTTTAATCTGTATTAATGTATAATCCAGATGTATTAGTTTTTTGTATGCCTGCAGTGTCAATAAGTAAAAATTAATATTCCAGTAATTGTTATTTTGGTGCTAGTTGTTGCATTAGCATTCCTGAATGCAGGGGAAGAAACATTTGATTACAATTAGAGTGGTTTTCTTCTTTGTTTAAAAAACCCCCAAACTCTGCACTATGACAGTTGAAGGAATGTTTCTTTAAAACCAGAGCCAAGAGTTCATCATAGTAGCAGAGAGCGCATTGAAAAACATTGTGATGCCTTCCATAAAACCTCTTTTGTCCTGGATAATTGTTCCTTTAAAGCTTTGTGGCTTTTTAGCCATCTTACATTTCTCAATTTTACCATCTTGGAATTAACCTAATTAACTGCTTTTTTGGATTGACTCATGAAGCCTTCAACCTACTGCCATCCAGGAATGTGAATTCTAATCAGTCGTTTCATTTCCATCAATAAGAAACTCTTCAGGTTTAAATATCCACTTTTTGGAACAACAAAATGTGAAAATTAAGATTTCAGCAAGGTTTGTGACAAAAGTCACACCCAGCTTTAGTAGCAGCAGTGAAAAAAATTTGCATCATCATTGGTAATCATGTATATTCATCCTTCATGCTAGCCTGATAGCAGAGGGTGGAGTTTATTAGCTTTTTAGTCTTCCTGAGTTGGGACTTGCCTGCAAGTTTCAAATCAGCTTTCTTCTTTAAATCAAATGTTTGTTTTAATAAGTGGAAACTGGAGTAGACCATACCTTTAAAAAAACAAAGTGAAAAAATCCCAGTGTAGGATTAGCAAATCAGGAATTTTTGTTTGTTTTTTAATTTCCTAATGATTTTGTTTGGTATTTAAAATTCACTGGATATCCTGTTTTCACTGTGTTGACACCAATGATTGAAAGCAGTAGTTGGTCTGTGACTTTGCAGGAGGTAAGTTTATTTGTGTGTGTTTGTAATGTAAGTGTTTGTCTCTATTGGAAATGCAGTATCCTCCTTTTCCAGACACTAACCAAATGTAACCAGCTGTCTCCTGTAACAAAAGGAAGGAGACTAATTTGGAAAGCTGCAACTTTTATTTTACTGCTTGTGGAAACAGTGATACAAACAAGAAGGGAATACTTAATACAGTCAGTAAACTTTTATAAATGCTGTGTATTTAGAGACAAGGCAGGGAGTGATTGGGAGGCTCTGTTTACACCTGTAGAACATCTAGCAGGTCTGACTAGTCAGCTCATGCGAGGTTACAAAATGCTGGTTCTGATGTTAGCCTGGTTGTAGCTAACAAACTCCATTTAAAATGAATCTGAAGATTGCTCTCCCTGCAAATGAGGCTATGTGAAACTCTGCAAAACATTTGACAGTCAGCAAAAGTAGCTCACTTCCTTTTGTGAGAGGCACAGCTTAGTTATTATGTTCCTCTTTTTTGTTAATATAATTGTTTATTTGGATTTAAATAGATTTGAGAACTTGCTCCTGAGAAAGCAGGCAGTTCTACCTTGGTAGGGTGTGGGGAGAGGCTGGAGAAGCCTAGTCATGGCTAATCATACTTTGCATCCTTGTTCCAAGGGAAAGGAAAGGCAATTTGATAAATTATCCTCAGCTAGAAAATAAATATATGTAGAATCACAGAGACTAAATAGCTGTTGGCTGGTATAATGAATAGGACACATCTAACATTTTAAAACTTGCCATGCAGATTCCTATTTAAGAGGAGGATAGTGCATTTCCAACCACATTGCTTGCTTTCCCACTTGTCTGTGAGTGCAGAGCAGGCGTTTGAAACCTCACCTTATGCTGCTTGCTTTGCAGACACTGATGCTTCTGGCAAAAGCATAGCAAAGAATGTTAAAGCCAACCAACTTTCAGGGTTATTTCACGCAGGTCTGTAAGGAATCCGGCTGATTTTTTCCTTATCTTTAAACAGTATTCCTATAATCAGCATTACAGCAGCTATGTTAGTAATTTCTGCCTAGTGAGAAGTTTTAAGTTAATTAGGTCTCTTTTTCAGCTATATCTGCTGTCAGGCAGCTATCTTTGCTCATGAAATTGGCAATCCTTTGATAATGTGAACAAAGTATTGAAGTAAAGACACTTGATAGCTTTCTATAGAAGATTGTAATTTAGTTTTACATCCAAGTACATATTACCCTTACCTGAAGAACTAGTTTTAACAATTTTATATTTATAGCAGAGTACAGTGTAATTTAACTAAAAACTCAGCAGAGGTTTTTGTCTTTAAAAGATGTTTACTTGACTTGTGGCAAATCATAATAAGGTTCTTTCATTTCAGTAATCATGTAGCAGTTGTTTAATGTATGATGCCTTCAAAAGGAAACAAATCTACTTTCCTGTGCAGTGCAATATTTCAGGCACTGTTGCACAATAAGGTCACATTGAAGACTAGGTATTTGCAAAGGCTCCACTTCCTGGCATAGAGGAAGCTGTTTAACAACAGGAGAGGTTTTTTTCTTTCTTTTTTTAAACATCCTTTTTGAGCAGTAGTTCTCCTTGTTTGTTTTGGCAAGTATATGAAATATTCTTGCAGCAGGAGGATGTTGGAGCAAAAACAGGACTGCATCTCTGTAGGTTTCATCATGACATTAATCTTTAATTAGAGATTAATCTGTAATTCCTGGAGACTCCAGGGCAATCCTGGAGAGTTGGCAACCCTTCTCTGGTGGGATTTAAAGAGGAAATACCTTACCCATATCTTCCATTAAGATTGTTAGGAACATAGTTGCGGAGTAGGAGGAAAATTAAGAAAGCTGAGTCATATGTTTATGCAGTGGGTTCAGGGAGTCTTTGTTTTGAAGCAATGTAGTGGTTGAGTAACTCATGAAAGTTTATTACAGAGGTAGTATCTTGCTATCTTAGAGGCTGTAATATATTTCATTTTATTTTTGTTCAAAGGAAAAAATTGACATCTGTCCTCAAGTGAAGAGATGGTCTTTGTAAAATGTTATCAAGTGGAGAATTCCATTCTTCAGTCATAAGGAAGTTCTTCATAAAAACTTGAAATTTTGTCTTTATTTTACATAGCTCATAGATTTCCCCCATCCCTTCTTTGGTATGAAAGACTAGTGGCCATTAAGCAAGGGCTCAGGCAAGCAAATCTGCGGCTCTTTGCAAATTCATTTGATTAAGATCCCCATATTTAGCCCATTCTTCTCAAGCCAACTGCTTGATGGGGACTCTCAGAGCATGTTTGGCAGCCTGTCTGCTCACCCTGAGACATCTTTAACAAATGTTTCTGCCTTACAGCCCTTGGACAAGAAACATCATTCCAATGATAAAAAATGCATTAGTTATTCCTCTCTCCCTTCTCCCCTAATTTATGTACACTGGTTTGGTAGTGTTTTACAACCACTTTGCACAGGAATAGGTGACTACACAAGGTGCAAGGCAGGGGAGAATCAGGCCATAGTCTTCTATACACTGAATATTTTTTTCATTTCTGAGTTGATCTGCATCACTGTTCTGGAATCTATATACATTTCAAAAAGAGAGGCCATCTCCCCATTTGCACTCTTTCTTGGCAGATGTCATTTGAATACACACTAGAAACTACTGGCACAGATTTTGGAGAAAACAGTTCAACAGAGCTGTAGAAAGGTTCATTACTAGGCTGCCCTGTTTTGAGACCCAGCAGAGGAAGGACAGTTGATTCTACATCATTTTTAGAACATAATATTCCTATGGAAGATTTGAAATCAATATTTGGTAAATTGGGGCAGGACAGATTCTATTTTGGACTTGAATAGACTATTAAGAGCATCTCTTAAAAATGGCTCTTGTTCATTACCACTGTGTTTTGTGTGGGATTTTATTATCTAACCAATTTTCCTTAATGATCACCATGTAGAAGCAGAGTATTTTTGTTGTAAGAAGGGTGCTTTTGAACTCAGGGAAACCTACAATCAGTGTGTCATTTGGGCCTGAACATAAATATGTTTGTAAAGAGCAGCACAGGGATGGAATTGGAATCACTGCCCTTCAAGTTACATTTCCATAGCACTGTTTCAGTTTTTCTAAACAGGCCCTGTCAGATGGGATACTGCATCTGCTGGCTTAATTCAATGTTGTTTCCCACAGCAGCAATCCTGCCTTAACTGTGCACTCATGCCTTCTTGGTTTTTACACTGTTTCTCATTCTCGTACACACCCACAAAATATTCACTTGTCTCTTTGTTCTTTCATTTTAAAATTGATAAGAATTAACTTATTCTCCTATTTGTTCCTCTCTTTCTGCAGAGGGAGAACCGCAGGCTCCAGGAAGCCAGCATGCGGCTGGAACAGGAGAATGATGACCTTGCCCATGAACTTGTAACGAGCAAAATAGCCCTCCGAAATGACTTGGACCAGGTAACACAGGCACTGATTCGTGGCCAGGCCTGAGCCTGAACTCCTAAAGTTAGGTGGTGGGGAGGGCAATGGCAGCATTTTGCATTCACAATTGTATGAGTGCAACATTGAAGGCATTATTATTAGTGCCTTTATCTGCTCCCATTGAGATGCCTAACTACCTGAATTGTAACTTCAGTCAAGAAGTTAAGTATCTAATGGATGCAGTTATAGGCACAAATATTGGCACCAGTGAACACCAAATTACCTGTGCTATTGCAGTCTGTTTTGGAAAATGTAGGCCATAATCTCTCATGCAAATATCAGAATATAGCTACTAACTTGAAAAATGTATGCCATACTCTCCAAAACTTTAATTTGCTATAATGTCATCCAGTACGTCTCTCACCTCACACATTCCACTACTCTTCCAAAACCATCTAATCCTAGCTCTAGTTACCAAGGTAGCAGACAGCACTCCCAAGAAAGCTGAGGGGTGCTAGCAGCAAATGTTCAGATGTTTAGTATTTCCATCAGTAATCTGCTTCCTACAAAACCTAAGCTTTGGCACAGACGACAAGTGCTGGGGGAGCTGTTCACATGATTAGGTTGACTTTGGGAAGGTTATACACACAACTGGGGTGTTGTCTATCTCTTTGCAATAATGCAGTGCACTTCAGAGCTTCACAGTGTATTCTGCTACATTCTTTAGAGGTGAACTGTTAGTAATTATTACTGTATTAAATAATAAACAGGACAGATTCTGCACTCTTATTTCAGTGAATAGCATCTTACTCAAACTGAAGCCAGTAGGTGCTGTTGTGGGGCAAGGTGCTCCTCAGTATGAGTAAGAGTATCTGAATCCAGCTGTACATGACTGTGCTTTGACTGTTCCCAACTTACATAAAGAAATACAGTCCATGCCACAACCCTGCAGTTACTCTACGTCTTGAAAGTCAGTGTCTGCTGTTTTGGGCTCAGTTATAACTAAGAGACTGAGCCATGCTGGTGGGGGAGATGCACAAGAGGCAAAGGATAAGGGCAATGTCTCTGGAGGTTACGAGTAGACGATAAAACCTTGTGGGATGCTAGGAGATGTATTCTCCCCAGCAGCAGTTGAAATACATGCCAAATTGTAACACTTGCTAGCTCCACAGCTACTTATTTTCTGCCCATTCCTGCTCTCATGTTTTAGCTGTCTTCTATGTAGGCGATTGAAGTGGCTCTGTTACCTGCAGTTCACCCCTGCTGGGGCAATAGCTTTGCCTCTCTATGTGCAACTGCTGTTTTCCTTCCCCACAAGAGTTAATGACACTTATAATGGTGCTAGGGAGATGAGGACCTGGGACTGAGCAAACAGAAAGAAGAACTGATATTCAGATAGTTCTTCCAGGTGTTTTTAATGGTTATGTTGAACCATGTATTATGTTACTGGTCTAGGATCTAAAAGAGGTTTTTGGTTTTTTCTTTTTAAAGGTGGCAGGTCCCCCTACATCCTTTGCTCCATCAGATGCTAGCATCACTATCCCCTTCCTTTCACTATTCTCTTCTTTGCGCCCCCTTCCATACTGCCACTATGTGTGGAATGACCTACTGATCCTCCCACCTTCCTCTTATTCATATCCTTGCTAAAAGACTTGCTTCATCTCCCCCCACACACACACAGGATTTCCCCCTCCCCCAAACACAGTGAGATGAGTTAGTGTTCAGGGGGTGTGGGGAAATCCTGGGGGTTCCCCACTGCATCTTGGTTATTCTTGTAGATGTAAAGCCTAAAAGTAGGGATATTCTTCCTGTCTCAAAGCAGCTTGAGTAACATCCTGGCCCCACTGAAGTCACGGGCAAAACTCCCATTGACTTCAGTGGAGCCAGGATTTCACCCATCCTCTACTAATAACCAATGGCAGCATGGCAAAGAAGCAAGCCATAGTGCCAGTGATGGTGGGAAAACATGGTGCAGGTCACAAGCACAATATCTGCATTAGGTAATCAATCATTTTGCAGTGCTTTTTCCCATGATTTTGCAGCCAGTGAGTTATTTTCTGGCTATAACCATTGCCTGTTCCATCAACCTGCTTATCAAACAGAGTGAGTTCTGCGATGCAATATTTATCCATGAAATGGGGAAGTTAGCTAGCCAGTGAGTATACTTAACACTGACAAAACCTCTTTTTCATTGTAATCAGTTAGGCCAGCAAGGTACCCCCACCATACCAAGACACTTCTGGTACTCTTGAACATCTCATTGTCATGCCTACCTCTTCAAATGGCGGAGCAAATTCACACATCCTGACCAACATGTATTATCTGGCTTCTCCAGAAAATATTTTTGCAGTGTTTTTACAATGGTAGATAATGCTCTTCTGCCTCTTATATTGGCCTGCACGCTAAGTATTGAAAAGTGTAAAGTGCCACACAAACTCTCAACTCTCCTGTGATATAGGTATCTTCCCCATTTTACAGATGTGGTAACCAAAGCACAGAAAGATCAAGCCACTTGCCTCAGGTCACACAGGAGCTTGGTTGAGAACCTAGCCCACTATACCATTCTGCCTCCCTTCTGATACATAGTCTTCCTTTTATTTACATCAGAGTTACACATCTCCTAATATAAGCCAGGAGTCTCACACATGACCAGGATCCTTAATTGCTCTTAATATGGCCCAGCACATTCTCTGTTAGAGTATCAAATACTCATGTGGCCTTTGCACAGCAGCTGAAACATAATGCAATAACCAAGCAAGTAGTTACTAGAAAAAAAAAACATGCTTCTCCTGCAAAAAGGGAGCATGGGAGAACATAGGAGGAAGAGTTGCATCAAGTTTTTTTAGCTCATCCCTTCTGATTGTCAGGCTGAAGATAAGGCAGATGTTCTGAACAAGGAGCTTCTCCTGACTAAACAGAAACTAGTGGAGACTGAGGAAGAAAAGCGGAAGCAAGAAGAAGAAACTGCCCAGGTAAGACTTGTTTAAGCGTTTCCACCTAACCAAACACACAAACCACAAGAATTTGAGGGAGTATCAAACATTTGTTTGTGCCCCTCAAAACATTCATTCTTTAAGTCAGAGTGAAAATAAAAAATCCACATAAAGAGAAAAAAATTAATATTCTCTATTTCTGAGCATCTTTTGTGTTCTTACTGGAGCTCTGAGGGTCCCGTTTTCCAACTTTAATCCTGTCTCCCAACATCCTTTTTACTGCCACTATGTAAAACACCCACAGCCACGGAGGCCTAATCAGACCCTCTTCAGAACCTACAAAAGTAGCTGGAGGCATGGCTGTTACATAGAATTTGCCATACTGGATCAGCAAGTTAAAGCTATGAGCTGTTAAGTGCTTCCAGGCCCTAAGCCCAAGGACAGAATGGAAATGATATTTTTCCCAACTGGGTCTCACCTGATACTGGTTTACAAATTTTTTTTTAAACGTTTAGCTATTTTAAATCCTGAACAATGACCTACATATAAGTGTGTTTCAATAGCAAAAACCCCTCTCATCATCCTTGAGGATTTCTTTGCTACCTGTCTGTAAGCAGAAGCTGGAGCAATGAGACTTATTTGTTTCATTGCATTAACAAAAGGTTATCGGTCCCCCCCCCCCCCCAAAAAAAAAAAAACTCCTTCATAGTTCTGTTTCTCTGAACTGGAGAGTCCCAGGCTCTCTCCATGTGTCGCTAGAGCTTTACCACCTCTGGCAAGAGAAACCTTCACTTCTGTTGAAAGGTCTGTGTTCTTTATGGTGCTGAATGGCAAGATGGGATTTAATGGTATTTTAATGCACTGGTCAATACTGCAATTCTGAGCCATTTGGGCTGGAGAGGTCATTGTGATAATCCTGGCATGCTCCTCCTTCCCTTTCACCCAGGAAAAAATTATATTTGAGTATGGATCTGGGGAACCCAAACACTAAACAACATTTGGCAGTGTAGTGGGCTTGTTTGTATTCAGTCATAATCAAAGATGGTCCCCATACTCTAGAGCAGAATTTCCCAACCAAAGATATGCAGTATATGTCCCCGTTTTTAAATGGCTGTTCATATTGCTGAGAATACAGTCATACTACTACTAAAAGATAACTGCACATTGAGTAAAACAGAGGCTATAACAAGGCTTTTGAATGCCAGGCTTTATCAAGTAGTGGGAATTGGTAATAAAGAGCTATACCGTAATTATAGATGCAAAGTATGTTCAAGAGTGATGTCATCACTCACATGTTGGAAAATTCCTCAAAGCCCACCCACTAATATGATTTCTCTCCTTGAACTTTCCAGCTGAAGGAAATCTTCAGGAAACAACTAGAGAAGGCGGAATCTGAAATAAAGAAAACCACTGCCATTATTGCGGAATATAAACAAGTAACATTTATAGAGAAACTCCTGTTTCATATAGTTATTTGTAAACTGTTTTTAACGTCTTCCTACTCCCCATCTCAGGCAAGCTAGCTGTTCAGCATTCTAGTCCCAGTACTTTTGACCAGGGCATGTCTCATTTCAGGCTTTCTGAGAGCATGAATTGTAGACAGTTATATTTTTTCTGGAGTTGTCCAAGTGGAATCTGCCACTTTCTGTAGAGCAGTGGTCTTCAAACTGGGGTGCACAAGAGGATCCTTGGGGTGTGCGGCAGGAGCGCTTTTCTTTTTTTTTTGCTTCGTCAGTTCGGGTGGGAGTCCGAGCTGCCCTTTTTTTTTTGCTTTGGCAAAAATGGTAGAGCCGGCGCGGCGGGGGGTGCATGCTCAAAAAATTTTTACTGATAGGGGTGCGCAATCAAAAAAGTTTGGAGACCACTGCTGTAGAGAAGAACACCCCCTTATCAAGCCATTCCCAACCTACTAAGTGCAACTGCCTCTTTTGCCCTGCTCCTGGCTAAGGATGTAGGCCAGCTCCCCATGAAATTAGTCAAATCAATCTCAGTGTTAAAGTTGCATCTTGAATACTACCATTTAGACCTTTTTTGTCAGCCTTGCTACCACTAATAGATTCATTCTGAGGAAATAACTGTGTATGACTTCGGTGACGCTGTAATAAAATACTGCTGAATTGTACTACAAGTATTTTTTTTTTTATAAACTTTATCAAAGGGGTTGTTTTCTCTCTTCCAGATTTGTTCCCAGCTGAGTACCAGGCTCGAGAAACAACAGACAGCAAGTAAGGAGGAACTGGAGGTTGTGAAGGTGAGAATGAGGCCTCTGTATGTGAAGTGTCATTAACTCAAATATTCATAGATCCTGGCAGTAAGATACTGAAAGGATTTGAACTGCAGCCATATAGTAGCAGCCTTGTGAGCCAGGAAGATGGTCTAAAATACCCTCTCAGATGTTTCACAGGATGGAAACAATTGTAGAATACATGTCCCTTCACCATACTGTTTTGGATATCAGGTATGCTGGAGCTTCCAAACTGGAGTGCACAGAGTCCCTATATTTTTCCCCGCAGAAATGTATGAATTTGGCAGGAAGCATGGAGGGATAAGTCTTTATAAGTTCTAATAAGATGAGAAAGGGAGCCCTTTGGGGGAGCTTTTGAACTGCATCTCTATTTTGCACAGTGCACACAGGCACAGCCCGGGACAGAGAGAGCAAAGGTTGCTTTGGACCTGATGGATTCTGGGCAGGCCAAGGAGCTGCTCTTAATTATGGTGGGCTGGCCTGGTCTGCCCCAGACTTTCCATCCCCCTCCTGTCCTGAACACCAAGGCCTTGTGAGATCTGCATAGAGCTGTCTCTGGTTGTCCTACATAGTCTCCTCACTAGGGGAATTTTCCCCAATAAGGGACTTCACAGCACCTGTATGCTGCCACAGCAACATACAAGGAATCCCTCCCTCTGTTTCTGTAGTTCTCAAACTTTCTGAAGTATATAATCTGTTGCTATCCAATGGCAAATGTCTGCCTTTTGCTAGGATTATAAATTTTACTGCCTACTATTTCTGAAACATTAAACCAAGGGTTTACACATGCTTTACAAGTAGTTGGCAGTTTAGCAACATACACCGCTACCTCGATATAGTGCTACCCGATATAACACAAATTCGGCTATAACGCGGTAAAGCAGTGCTCCGGGAGGGCGGGGCTGTGCACTCCGGTGGATCAAAGCAAGTTCAATATAACGCAGTTTTACCTATAACGCGGTAAGATTTTTTGGTTCCCAAGGACAGCTTTATATCGAGGTAGAGGTGTACATATCTTCCCTCTTAGACAAAAAAAGACATTTCTGAACTGAGAATGCCAGGCACTCTACTTACTGTTCTAAAATTACAGTTTCACGAAAATAAAGACTGACTGACATTCATCTAGTTTCTTAAAGTATTTCAGTACATTTTTTTGCTTGTTTACTCCTGCTAAGTGGTCTGAGAGCAAAGTCAGCAGGATTACATTAGCAAACACTGGCTATTGTTAATGATGACCAGATATTCAACCCAATATTAACAACAACAAGAAGGAAGGAATGCAAGCCAAAATAGGGAAAGAAAAGTTTAAAGAATATTTAGATAAATTAGATGTGTTCAAGTCAGCAGGGCTTGATGAAATTCATTCTAGAGTAGGTAAGGAAATAGCTGAAGCAACCATCTTCGAGAACTTATGAAAGACAGGTGAGGCCCCAGAAGATTGGAGAAAGGCAAACATAATGCTGATCTTTAACTAGGGGAACAAAAAGGACTCAGGGAATTATAGACCAGCCAGCTTAACTTCGATACCTGAAGAGTTACTGGAACAAATTGTTAGTCAATTTGTAAGCACCTCTTCAAGCCAACCCAATGTGGAACTTGCTGTTGTCAAGTGTTCTTGACACTAGGAGCATTCTGTAAGATAATATCACTATTACATGCTGGTATTAATAGAAAAGTAGCAGCCATTGCATCCAGCATGGAGTGCTTGCTTGTGACGAGTAAGGAAAACCTGGGTGGGAGCGGGTTTCTAAGCAATATCACATGGTTGTAATATTTCCTTTGCCAAAAGCCATATTAACCTTAATATTTGATCAAAGGTATTCTTTTTTTAAAGCAGCAGGTTTAGCCAGAGAAAAAATCCTGCAATCTACTTTATCAACAAATATGCTAACATTAATGCAGTACTGCAAAAATATCACAAGTCTTGACAACAAGAGGGTAAATGTGACTTCCAAAGTCTAGATGTGTTGAAAAAATGCTTGAAGTATTAGGAATTCTTATCCTGGTGCATGCGCCTATATCTGTTCATGAATTTCTAAAATCATTTGAGGTAAGACTGCATGTGACAATCTCACACACTTAGTGGCTCTACCATTACCACCAAAAAGCAAATCTAACATAAGAGCAGCTCTTCCAGGAAACAGGACATCTGTAACATGGCTAAAAATGGATTCTCTGGCTGTTCCCAGGGTAAAGTGATGGCTTGCAAACACTGCAGTGAGATTTTCAGTAAGAAAGGAGCATTGAAGCTGCCTGCTATAAGCAGAGAGACCCAGGGAACAGAAAGAGATGATGAGAAGGATGCACTCAAGAAGCAGCTGAGGGAGATGGAGCTGGAACTGGCACAGACCAAATTGCAGCTTGTGGAAGCAAAGTGCAAAATTCAGGTATATGTACAGGTATCCTACTACAGAAAAAACTGACTGTATTAAGCCCTATCTACCTCATGGGGAATTTAGTTGCAATGTGACTGTCTCCTTGACTTTGGTTCTGTAGTGTAGATGTTGCTAGAATGCTACTGTGCTTTTATGCAGCGACACTAAGGGCTATGTCTACACTGGTACTTCCGTTGGTAAAACTTCTGTCGGTCAGGGGTGTGAAAAAACACACACACACACAGAGCTCTGTCCTGCCAGCAAAGAGTGGCTACACAGGAGGCCTTACACAGGCATAACTGTAGCGGCACAGCTGTGCCACTGTAAGGTACGCTGTGTAGACATAGCCAAATTGTAAGGCGTCTCCTCTTCCTTTCATTCCTGCACCGAAGCTGAATACAATCATCCTTGCACTCCCTACAAGGCTAGCCAAGCCAAAGGGGGCTAAGACAACTGCAGAAGAATGCATACTGCACCCTCTTAAAGGGTGGCACAATGGCCGCGTTTAACCTACATGGTAGGGAGCTCTGGAAAGGGTATGAAACTCGGTGCCTCCTGTAGATCTGCTGGGGGGAAATGTAACTGTACACCATTCCCAATCCATGATGGAAACTATAAAACACAATCCAGCCTTTTAGTAACATAGTGCTATGTCCAAAAAATAGCTCTCATTTGTGGCCCTAACTTACCCCAGCCCTGTCTGGCATACGATTGTCTGTTGTCTACCCTTTTGTTCTTGACATACCCTCTCCTCTTCTGCTAAGCTTGTGGAGTTGCTCTCACCACAAGTCACAACCTCCATCATGGATAGTAGTATCCCTTGCGGCATCCATCAGTACCTCTGGCAAGGAGTTTCATCCAAGCAAGGCAGCCCCCCACTTCTCAGACACCACCATTCCTCTCTTGGTTCAATGGCAGCTCAAGATACACCCTTTCTTTCATACCATTGTTCTACTTCTAAACATCTCTACACACAGCTGCCAAGCCATCAGAGCACCATATGGATTAAATCTTGTGTGCATATGCTTGTCTGTACCATTGCTACACCCACACATCACCTCTGAGGGTTTATTTTATGCCAATCTAATTGGACTTAGCTGATTTTGTGAATTCCCAGGAAACTGGGATGTTCCTTTTCACTCTTCCCTTTCAGTCTTCAAAGAAAAAGGGCTCTAATTTGTAGTACTATCGTCTGTAGTTCTACTGCCTGTCCCCTCCAATCCCCACCCCCATGACTGTAGAAGGAAAGAACTGAGTTACAGGGATTGAATTTGAAGATGCCTCTCTGTAATCAATGATTTTCTGATCAACTCCGATTATTCTACTTCCTTAGGAGCTGGAGCACCAGAGAGGAACCCTTATGAATGAAATCCAAGCTGCTAAAAACTCTTGGTTTAGCAAAACCCTGAACTCTATCAAAACGGCCACGAGCACACAGCCACCACAGCAGCCTCCACCATCCCAGCCACCCAAAGAGAGCAGTACATAGTTCCAGCCAGATCCCAGGCACAAGAGCACAAAGAACAAAGCAACTGAAACCCTGGAGGATTTCCCCAGGGGGGTCTCCTCTTGGGGAAAGGACAAAAGACAGGAGTGCAGGCGTTGAAGTGAAATCCTTCAGTGTCTTTACTCATTCTGGTGTGACCCTTTCCAAAGGGAAGTTATTTAAAGAATCCAATTTTATGTTGAATACTTATTTCCCACCTGCCTTCCTGAAAGCCATGTTCTAATACCTTCATCCTTTTACACTTTATTTTATATGCTTAGATGTTAAGATGGATAATAATAATTCAGAACTAAGTGTTCAGTATGTGAACTAATTATAACTACAATTATTTTTATCTTGCATAAAACAGATGTTTTCTTTTTGGGAAAGAAGGAGGGTAGCATAAATCTTGTCAAAGCAAGCACAGTATAATGCCAGGCTTTATACTCATGCCATGGGATCATCTCAAGTTTACAGTGGTGTTTGCATCCTGCAGAGAAGCATTTCCCATTCATTGTAAGTCTTAAGTCATAGCCAAAATAGTCTTGTGCTCTCTCTGGCATAGCACAAGTGTTTATAGTCTTCCCTGCGAATATTCTGTGTGTTTGATTTTGGCAATTAGTTTCCTGCACAAATTCAAGGAGCGCAGGTCTTCCAGATGCTGAGTGGCAGCACTAGTTTAATTCTTGTGTGTCGCGCCTGAACTGGAATTTAAAGTGAAATCTTCTAGTCCCCTTCTTATTCTGTTTTATTTTCAGAACTGGAGAAATGATTCCCTCCATTAGAACAAAGGGAAGGCTATATTACTTTTTTTTTTGGGGGGGGGGGGGAGGGAGGGGAAATAAGTAGTTTTGAAACCTTGCTTAGTTTTGACATTCTATCTATTACCCCTGTGCAATAAAAGCGTGGTATCTTTTTTTCAGCGTAGTTGGTAGAAATATTTTCACATGAAACATTGGGCCAAGGTTTAAGCATTGGTCTTGGCACAAAACTGGAAGCGTCAAATCAAAAAACTCTCTTTGCACAGGAGAAACAAACACCATTGAAAAGTTTATTTGCTTTTGACACTTTATTAGGGAACCCTAAGTTGCTGTATCTTTTTTTTAAAGGACAAAATATTAAAAATGCAAGATAATAGACTTTACTCATGAGGTAAACTTTTCTGATGATTATTCCTGAGTCTGTCTGGAAACAGGATTGTCTTGTTTTATATCTCTAAGTTAAAGAAGTGCAAAAGCAGTTGTGACATTTTTTTGATTGAACATAAATGTTTATAGAAATACTTATTTCATGAAAAATTAAACTATTGCTTAAACTGATGGAAATATTTTTAAATTATATTTAACATGTCTATAAGAAGGTCTCACAGATAAATATTGTTGCTGGACAAGAGGTTAGTTGTGCATTAAGTTTCCCCATGTTATAAAATGTTCCAGGGACATTAGCCCTGTTTTGATTTTAACTTTAAGTAATGTAATATCTTATCAGCTCTGTACAATAAAGTTTGATACTCACATCCTGCTTCATTTTCAAGCATATTTTCAGAAGATTTTTACATGTAGTACAAGTTTAACATTTACCCTGTGCCAAATGAGACATTTTGAAGAGCAGTCAGCTGTTTGAAATAGAGATCAAAATGTAGTCACTATCCTTAGGCAGCAAAAGGCCTGCAATTTGGTGATGTAGGTTCTTTTTTCTAAGAACAGAGCTGAATAAAGAGTTAAGTTCCTCTTGTTAGAATGGTTTATAAACTTACCTGGAAGAAAAGTGTTTTGTCTAGATGTTGTTACAGAGTGGAACCGAAATAAGAGGGTTCTTCAAATGAAACCGAATTTTGGCATACTTTTCATAATCAGCTTAGTGCTATTAATATTTATCTGAATAAAGACCAGTGTTCCTATCCAGTGGAATTACTAATTTCAGCATTGAGATGTCACTGGCAAGTAAATTAACGAACTTGAACTAAGTTATGTAATAAACTGGAGGTGACAATTGTATACAATTAAATACATTATTGTAGTACTTGGAGTACTGTGCTCACAGCCAACATTGTTACTGGTATCAAACCACCAGTTTTGTCCAAATTTCTCATTTAAATTCCAATCCTTTAATTTAAATCATGCCTACAGATTGATTTATACTGTTTTCCAAACAAGGTCTTCAATGCAGTATAAACAGAAAAGTGAATTTAATGGCACTTTTTGGTATGTCTCCACTCACAAAAATGTTTGCTACCTGTAAGCTATGCTGAGCCCTTACAGTTATTGGAGAGGAAATTGGAGTCTATTTTGCCTTCACATGATAGCAATAAAATTATCAGTCAAGTACTGATGACAGAATCTTCACTCCTGGTAATGATCCAAGAGGCTTGATTTCCTACCTCCTCCCCCACCATCCCAGGTTGAGTGTCTATCACCTCTAAGTAGAAGAATGAATAACATTTGACTTTAAAAACTGTAAATCTTGTTTGGAATCAGTGAAAGAACAAATAAAATCACTTTCCTGACTGTAATGACAGTGACATTCAATAACATGGAAAGCTAACAAGATTGTAGGGTTACAAGATAGGAGGTAAAATCCAACTTCCTGGCTGTATATACAAATAACCTAACATTGTCATAAGGATTAAAAAAAATGGGTTTTAGTTGGCCCTTTCAGTGGTAAAAGACAGAACCGGGTACATGATGGAAATGTGCACCTTCAGCGTTGGCTGATATACTGTATGTGGCAAAGGCTGATGTTTGCATAGATTTTTTTTTTCAATGGGAAACTTCCTGAATTAAAAGTCTCACTGAAGCTAATATGTATCTGTTCAAACAGCACTGAAACAGTTAACATAACTCAAAGTGTGGAAGTATTTTTTTTTTAATTCAATATCAAAATGCATGCCCAGTTCCAACAGTTGTACTAAAGGTAACTTGTGTCCGTCCATATGTAAGGAGCAAGCATTATTGGGGATTTTTATTTTTACTTCCATTCAGAACAAGTAATTCTGAAATATGGCCTTAATTTCACAAAGAAACAATTCTCTGTAAAATATATATTTTGGTGCCGTTATTAATCTTGTGGATACTAGTGCCTCACTGAGGTGCACAATGCAGAAAGAACAAGTAAATTTTTTTCACTTCATGCAGAAGTTTTTTATTTGGGTGAAACACTTCATAGGATAAATCAGGTTGGATTAATTACATTGTACATCAATTCACTAATCATATCTTTGTGGATCAAAGTTGAATTTATGTAAAACCGTAGTGCATACTTCATATCACTTTTAAAAAAATGTTGAAAAGTTAACGACTTGCCTGCATTCAGGTAAACTGCTCAAGGTTCATATGCTTCAGTCCTCAGTAGAAGGAAAGCACTGAACCATGTACTCAGTATAGCCAGCTGACACACACATCCCAGCCTCTGCCCTGCTCATTAGATTGTACATCTTCCCATTTGCTATAGCGAAATTATCTTTAGATAACCAGAAAAATCTTTTTGTATTATAAGTTGTATGGCGGGACTTTTTGTTTAGCCATTGAATTTCCTGTTTTATGCTAGCATATTTTGTTTTATTCTCTTATTTCATTAAAAAGCTATTTTGAAGCAAAAAGCAGGTGTGGGGTATCTCTGTTCACTAGAACAAGAAAGGAGAGTCAGGTAGAGCAGACACTCATCCCTTGATACCAAAGTATATTAGTCATAGCAGACTCTTATAATCTAAGTAGAGACAAATACATTACGGATTTAGGTTTTGTGGCAAACACCTAGGGTGAAATCCTGGCCCCAGTAAGACAACGGCCAAACTCCCATTGACTTCAGTGGGGCCAGGATTTCACCCATGAAGTTGAGTTTGTGATATGCTGACTAGCCTTGGTGATAGTGCTCTTTAATAGAGTAGAAAAACTGCCTGTACTGGCCGCTACAGTATCATGATTTACAAATTAAGTATGAAAAATCTTGTTTTCCTAATGCCACAACCTCTCGCTAGGAAGTGTGTAGGGCTGAATTCTGACATCCCTGTACTGAGTAATATCTTACTGAACATGTGAACTTTGTCATATAATGGTATGTTATTTTTCATCTCCTAGAGAAGCCTTTAGTACATGTTTTACATTTTGAAGATCGAGGCAGTGGTTTTAACTAAGAGCTGAATGACAGTTCTCTTGAACCCACAGCAGCCATCAGTGGATGATGCCTTGTAAAGTAGTCGGTTGTTCAATAGCAGGCTTTACTAGATATATAGCATTGCATATGCCCATAGATGTAACGTAGTACCGTACATTTTCCTCTTAAAAATATAGCCTTTTTCTAAACTTCCTTTCTGCTTATTACACTAACCATCCCATGGAGAGCTGTCCCACTAAAAAGAGGCATTTCCATCCAAATAGTGCTAAATGCTCACACACTACATCCCTTTCACTTTGAACTACTCAATATAGAAAATGTCGCAAGTTGACTTCTGAACACCCAGCAATGCACCGTCTGAAACTGGGCTATGATACATAGAAAGCATCCAGTTTTAAAGAGATTCATAATGAGAACTAGAAAATGGACCTTTTAAGGGCACTACACACGAGAACTAATTACAACCCTACCTTTCCTAGTTCAGAGGCCTGCAGAACATCAGTTCACAACCATTACTCACTATTTACAGGGTTGCCCTTCAGGAATACAGAGCTATCAATTTCTTCCAGACTCCCAGTGGTTTGCTATTGAATGTATGTCATGCCCATTTTTACCTGGAAAAAATAAGGCTCAAAAATAAGAACTTTATTTCCTTCCCTTATTTTCTTATTCAGTGAGACTTGTTTTTATTTAACCTGTAAAGGAGCATATATGCATCTTTGGAAACTATATATTATATATAGAATAATATATAGGAAACTGAATTAGGAGATAAAATACATCAGAAGGGTCTAGTGTCACAAATTTCACTCATGTGATTTGATAACCACCAGAATCCTGGGCTGTACTAATTTCCTTTCAGTTTCTCTTATTTTTGTATTTTATATAATACATGGATCTACTACCAATTCATATAAACAAGAGAAAATGTTATTGGCCTCTGCCTGATTCTCTCCTTTCAACCATCCCCTGGAGGAAACTAATGTGGATGAGGTTTTCAAGAATTGTATTGGGAGCTATTTCACTTAGAACCATCACCTTCTCTTGGAACTCTGGAGAGAATCTTCTTTATAGTTTAAGTAGAAAATGCAATGATGTCAAGAGCAAGCAGAGATGGGCCCTATCCAGATCCATAGTTTTCCAAAGTTTAAAGGGGGTTCAGTTCCAGGGGTTTTATTCAGCCTCTTGAAACAGGCATCAGCTGCAAAGCTTGGATCCAGAGTGAGGGTTCCCCACCTGTTGGGGTTATTCAGCTGCACAGTCTTGATTTGGGTCCATCCCTAATTATAAAGAGAAATACAGTGCTAGTGGACTAGGGAGATACAGGGGCTTTGTTGTGTTAGACTTATGATTTGGGAACATTTTTATACTGCCAATCAGTCACTGTATAACCAATCCATGTATTATATAAAAATATAAATGTAACACTTGTTATTAAAAGTGTAATTTAATGTACATCATCACAAGAAATGTTTACTTTTTTAATTGTTAGACATGTTTAGATCAGTATCTTGTTTTCTTTGTGTGAATGATATGTTGTAAAATAAACAGAAATGCAATCAAGATGGGAATGAGATGCTTGTTTTCATAAACTGCTCACATTACTGATACCCTCAATGTCTGCTCAAGAAATGGTTTGACCTCCATTTACAATAAATCTGATTAACACTGGCACTTCTCTAACATAAGAATGGCTATACTGGGTCAGACCACAAGTCCATTTAGCCCAATATCCTGTCTTCCGACAGTGGCTAATACCAGGTTCTTCAGAGGGAATAAACAGAACAGGTAATCATCAAGTGATCCATCCCCCGTCACCCATTCCCAGCTTCTGGGAAACAGAGACTAAGGACACTATCCCTGCCAATCCTGGCTAATAGCCACTGATGTATCCTCCAAGAATTTATCTTGTTCTTTTTTGAACCCCATTATTGCCTTTGCTTTCACACCATCCTTTGGCAAAGAGTTCCACAGGTTAACTGCACTGTGTGAACAAATACTTCCTTTTGTTTGTTTTAAACCTGCTGCCTATTAATTTCATTTGGTGACCCTTAGTTCTTGTGTTATGAGGAGTAAATAACAGTTCCTTGTTTACTTTCTCTACACCAGTCATGATTTCATAGAACTTCCCTTAGTAGTCTCTTTTCCAAGCTGAAAAGTCTGTTTTACTAATCTCTATTTATAGGGAAGCTGTTTCATACCCCTAATCATTTTTGTTTTCCTTTTCTGTACTTTTTCCAATTCCAATATATCTTTTTTGAGATGGGACGACCACATCTGCACATAGTAGTCAAGATGTGGGAGTACCATGGATTTATATAGAGGGGAATATATTTTCTGTCTTATTATCTATCCCTTTCCTAACAATTCCCAACATTATGTTTGCTTTTTTGACTGCCACTGCACATTGAGTGGATGTTTTCAGAAAAAGTTCTCTTTCTTGAATGGTATCAGCTAATTTAGACCCCATCATTTTATATGTATAGTTGGGATTATGCTTTCCAATGTGCATTACTTTGCATTTAGCAACATTTAATATCTGCCATTTTGTTGCCCAGTCACCCAGTTTTGTGAGATCCTTTTGTAATTCTTCGCAGTCTGGTTTGGGCTTAACTATCTTGAGTAGTTTTGTTTCATCTGCAAATTTTGCCACCTCACTGTTTATCCCCTTTTCCAAATCATTTATGAATATGTTGAACAGTACTGGTCCCAGTACAGACCCTTGGAGTGCACACCACTATTCACCTCTCTCTATTCTAAAAACTGGCCATTATTCCTACCCTGTTTCCTATCTTTTAACCAGTTACTGATCCATGAGAGGACCTTCCTTCTTATCCCACTAACTTTGTACTTTGCTTAAGAACCTTTGGTGAAGGACCTTATTAAAGGCTTTCTGAAAAATCTAAATACAGTAGAACCTCAAAGATACAAACACCAGAGTTATGGACTAACTGGTCAACCGGACATGTGAAACTGAAAGTAATCAATCAGGCAGGAGCAGAGACCAAAAAATAAAAAAGGAAGTACCATACTGTGCCTGTATTGCATCTTAAAGGTAGGCACATCTGGGCCTCTATTATGCGGTCTTCCAAAAGTTTCCTTGCAACTTACAGTTATTTCACTTTTGGCACTGTACTTTTTAATTTCTGTTTAACTAACTTCCTCATTTTTGTATAGTTCCCCTTTCTGAAATTAAATGCTACCATGCTGGACTGCTGTGGTGTCATCCCCACAGGGATGTTAAATTTAATTATATTATGGTCACTATTACCAAGTGGTTCAGCTAAATTCACCTCTTGGTCCAGATCCTGTAGCTCCAATTAGGACTAAGTCAAGAATTGCCTCTCCTCTTGTGGGTTCCAGGACTAGCTGCTCCAAGAAACAGTCATTTAAGATGTCAAGAAACTGTATCTCTGTATCTCATCCTGAGGTGATATGTACCCAGTCAATATGGGGACAGTTGAAATCCCCCTCATTATTGAGTTTACTTTTACAGCCTCTCTGATCTTTCTGAGCATTTTGCAGTCTATCACCATCCTGGCCAGGTAGTTGGTACTATATCCCTACTGCTATATTCTTCTTATTCGAACATGGAAATACTATCCATAGAGATTCTATGGAGGAGTTTGGTTCAACTAAGATTTTCACTTGACTCTACTCTTTCTTACACATACAGCGCCACCCGCCCGCCCGCCTGCCTTGTTCTGTCCTTCTGATATATTTTGTACCCTGGTATTCCTGTGTCCCATTGATTATCCTCATTCCACCAAGTTTCTGCAATGCCTATTACATCATTTAATACCAGGCACTCAAGTTCACACATCGTATTATTTAGACTTCTACCATTTGTATATAAGCACTTCAAAAAACTGTCTAGGACTAATGCTCAAATAAATTTGTTAGTCTCTAAGGTGCCACAAGTACTCCTGTTCTTTTTGTGGGTACAGACTAACATGGCTGCTACTCTGAAACCTGTCTAGGACTAAATTGTCTCTAGGGTTAAAGGTGCTCACATACCTTCCTCGGGCTACTGGTCCATGACTGCTGCAGTCACCAGCGCCCACTCTGCAGGGGCGAACCAGCAGGCAGCTGTTGAGGGCGGAGGAAGAGCCCCACAGGAAGGGGGCAGCGAGCGGGACTACGAGGGCGCCTAGCCGGGTGTAAACAGGACTGGCTTTAGGAAGTGTGGGGCCCAATTCGAACATTTTTGGTGGGGCTCCAAAAAAAACGTAAAAAAAAGCCTTTCATTTCTTCCATGTATTATTTACTTTCCATAACTATATAAATAATAAAATTATATATTATGTACATTGCATCATATATGCTGTTGATCAGTTATTAATGAGCTCCGTTTCACATGTGTGGATCCCCTTCACTCCCTGGGTGTGTGCTAGGGTGACCACATGTCCCGATTTTATAGGGACAGTCCCGATTTTGGGATCTTTTTCTTATATAGGCGCCTATTACCCCCCACCCCATTCCGATTTTTCACACTTGCTGTCTGGTCACCCGGTGTGCACATGTGTGGGTCCCAGCTGCTCCCTGCCCCCCTCATTGAAGCAGGCGTGCAGGGTTACTGCCCTGGGACTGCAGGGCATCAGTGGACATGGGGCTAGCAGCTGGAGGCGAGGTAGGGTCTGGCTACAGGCAGGGCAAGGGGTGCGGGGCTGGCTGGAGACAGGGGTGTGG